TTACAATTTAGACAAAAGAGACCATTTTTTGTTGTTTACATGACTAAACACCCCAATCAAATTGCATTATTCAACTGTACAGTTATTTCAAACGTAGATTTCAGTCAAAATTTACCTGATAAAACAGTTTGTTATATTTGTTTAATTTCTAGTTCAGTGTATACGTTTAATATTGAAAGAGGAATAGTTGATGAAAGTTTTTAAATATATTAAAATTAAGTAAAAAATCATTCCCTACTTTAATTTTTCAAGATATTTTATCTTAAAAAAATTAACAAGGAATCAAAAGCTTTTCATATTTATTTTTTTATTAGATCAAGAACAACAATAAATTCTTCATCAAAATTAACAATATTACCTTTCAAATCTAAAATCTAAATTTTTATTTCTTGAAAACGATTTTTATTCACTGGTCTATATATAATTTTAAAAGGCTTATTTAAAACATTATTAGAATTATATTGAAATAAAAATAAAACTTCATCATAATGAGATACATCATCAATATTATGTGTAATAGATTCTTCAATTATATTACAATGTACTTCTAATATTTTGTTGTTATTATTTAATGATGAATTTTCTCCATAATGTGTATATATTGTATCAATCCCTCCTAAACTTAAATTTAAATCTTTATCAAATGAAAAATAATCTTTTGTTGTTATTTTAATATAATTACCATTATTTTCCAACTTCATAATCGAATTGAATAAGCTATTTAAATGCTCAATTGAATAATTTCCTTTTGATTCAGTTTTACTATTTTCATTAGAAATAATACCTTTCATATTTTTTTATAAAACCTTATGTATAAATCATTGCTTTCGTTGTACCTATTATTTTATAAAAAATATCTGGTGCTATTTCATATGAAACAGGCCATATTTTATTTAAAGGGTTTGCTGGTGTTATAAAATCTCCAATATAATCAATACCTAAACATTTTGATAAATATTCATCAATAGACCGATTTATAAAACCATCAATTAATTCAAGACTTATTTTAGGGAAATCGTAACAATTCAATAAATTTTCAATTTCACTTATTGTGTATATTCCCTTAAAAATTGTATCCATTGGTATTTCACCATTTCTACATAATCTAAATCTACAATCTTATTCTATATATATATATAATTTTCATTAGAATTGGGATGGTAAATTATTGGTTTACTTCTAACTATTGAAAAATCAAATTCACTGTTTTCGAAACCTAAATATTTTTTTTAAATTTTCATCTTAATTATAATAACAAGGAGATTTAACTGTAATCCTATATTTTTCATCAGAAAATGATATAATAAGTGGTTCTAATTCTGTGTACATCAAGACACCTGACGAAGCACATTCCCGAAGGACCACTCGACGAATAATATAGACCAAAAAGTTGATTGTAAATGTTTATGTCGCCTTTTATAACTTGGGTAGGCAACCTAATGTACACGACGACAACGCTGACCTTAGAATAGTAACGGGTGGTGAGGTATTGATGGGAACAGAATGATAGAATTTAGTTATTGGGGGGGGGGGGGGGGTCTCCGTAGTCGGTTCGGCCCGGTGCAATGACCACAGAACTCACATGAGTTGGCTAAACCTTAATAATTAATCTTAAAAACTAGTGAAACCTTGAAGTTAACCCGGACAGCCTGCTCACAGTGAGACACCCGTTGGACGTGGATTCTGAAGACCTGGGCTGCCTCCCACACACTACAGAGAGTGCTGGCGGACTTACGCGGGAGTAGGTGGCACTTGATAACGGTGAGGTGCACAGTGTACGTACAAGCCGCCGGATCAGGTCACCCACGGATGACAATAGTATAGTTCAATAATATAAATTAATAACGCATGGTTGGAATGATAATAATTTGACGTTTATTTTAATCAATAATGATGATGAAGTTGCAGTAACGGCTACCAGTAACGTCGCACGTACAGCACTAATAATAGTGTGTTTATCACAATGAGACCTATCGAGGAGAGCTGCTGATGGACAAGCGTTCAACAAATGAGCAACCAGCCTCAACTTCAACTGTCACTAATTACTCATATAAATACCATCAAAAGAGGGTTTGTTCAATTATTGCTTCCATTTCAACAAGGTTAGGAACGGGTTTAGGAATTAAGGTTTCATTTGGCACGTTGCAAATTTGCGCTGTGGATAGGGTGTCTCAAAAAGATACTTAGAAGAAACCTGAAGAACACTTAAACATTTTTTCGAAATTTTCAAAAAATTTTTGAAAATTTTCATCTTCTAAATTCGATCAAGGAGGGAATCCATCACTGGATCACCGTTGGGAGATAGGCCACCTTCCAACAACTCCGAGAAAGAATCCTGTACAACTTCATACTACAACTACTACAATCGACATCAGTCAAATGGAAGCACCCGCAGTACCCGCTGTGTTGTTGTGAGTATTTAGTATTTAGTATTTAGAGTAATTAAATCGTTGTTCGTCTCCTATGATATATTATATGACCATAGTATATATATATAAGTGAAAAATCTAGTCGTGTTAAATTAAATAAGAAAATTGTTGGAAACTTTGAATTTTTATGTTAAATAAAATAAATTGTGAGGAACTTTAGAAAAATTTAAAATAAAATAAAATTGTTCTACCTTAGATTTAAAATAATAATTAATACAATAATAAAATAATAATTAAATAAACTGAGTTTTAATTTAAAATATTTTTTTAAATTGTTTAAAAATTAAATAAGTAATAAAAAATAATAATAATACATTGTAACTTAAAAAAAAAATCTTTAACACTCTTAATTAAATAATATTTAAATAAAATAATAAATTTAAATAAAATAATTTAATAGTTGTTTGAAACTTATTTTTAAACATTAAATAACATTGAATAGAGTAATAATTTTATTTTACAATAACGTCGCGAGTTAACAAACTTTTTAAATATAATAAATAATAATTTAATTTCGTAGGAAATTTTTCAATCATTTAAATAAGTTAAAAATAATATATTATAAATAATAATATAATTTAATTTAAAAATAATTCTACAATCATTTAAGTAAAATAAAATAACAATTTTAGTTATTTTAATCATTTAAATAAAATAAATAGAATTTTATTTTAAAATAATTTTCATTTGAATTAAATTGAATAATAGTTCTATTTTAAATAATTTTCAATAATTTAAATTAAATAAAATAATAAAATAATTTTAATTTTTCCTAAACGTTTTAATTAAAATAAATTAACAATTATTTGAAACTTAAATTGAATTTATAATTAACTAAAACAATAATTTTGTTTTTAATTTTTCCTCTTTAAATAATTTTCATTAAAATAAAATAATAATTATTCGAACTTGACTTAATTTAATAGTTAAATAAAATAATAGTTTATATAAAAGAAATCTTAAATTAATTAAATAAATAATAATTTATTCTAAAATAAATTTTATTCAAAACAAATAAAAAATAATAAAATAAAATGATATTTTATTAAAAAATAAATTTCAATCCTTTAATTAAAATAAAATAATAATTTTATTATTCGGACTTAAAAATTAAATAACCATTAAATAAAATAATAACTTTATTTAAAAAAATTTCAGTTGCTTAAATAAAATAATTTAATAGCTGTTCGGAACATTGAATTAAATAATAACGTAATAATTTATTAGAAATAAATTTAATTTGTTGGAAATGGAATAAAATTTAATATTCTAGTGAATATAAATATATTCGAACAAAATTTTTTATTTTTCAGGTTGAGTTTAGTGATTGATTAATATTTAAATAAATATAAATAAATAGTTAAAATTAATTAGGTTGAACAATTCGTAAATCTTGAGTAGTATTTAATTGAAATAGATCGTGTAATATTATAATAAATTGGGAGTTATTATAAATATTAATTATTTTAAGACAGTTAAGTCTTTATTGTTGAATATATTGTTGAGTATATTGAGAGTTTATTTGAGAATTTTATTTAAAGGAAGGAAGTAAGTCCTTATATTTTGTGAATTATTTTAGACAATTGTTGTCTGTTTTGGGGGGAAATTTATTTTAGAGGCCGAGAAGTAAGTCCTTGTATTTGTTGAATTTATTTAAGACGTTGATGTCTATGTTGATTTTATAGGCCGTGCAGTAAGTCCTTAAGTTTTTGTGAATTATTACGACAATTGAAGTCGAGTTATTGAATTTATTTACAGGCCGTGTGGTAAGTCCTGAGATTTGTGAATTTATTTGAAGACAGTGAGTCTATATTTTGAATTTTATTTTATAAGGCCGAAATAAGTCCTTACGTGTTGAAAAGAATAGGTTGAAAAAAATATATAGAATTAATTCAATTAAAACAGTTAGTAAGAGTTACTATTTAAGTATAGATGTCGTATGACTGGTTAATTGAATAAATGTAAAAAAAAAAAAATTTTGTTTAATAATTGTAAATAATTATACTATTATTATTTAATTGATAGTTTAGTTATTTATTTATTTGATATTTTATTTAGGTAGATTTTATTAACGAAATAATTATTTACGTAAGATTAAATTATTTTACGCTAGTGTGTCAATTAAATCTTAAGTCCATATTTATTTTAAATCTGATTATTTAATTTTAATTACTTGATTATGACTATTGATTAATGAGTCAAAAAGAAACCAATACTAGTTTAACAGAAAGCGAAACTGAAAGCATACAAGTAGTAGACTAGGAAGTTAGAGAAGTCGTATTAATTAAATCTGATAATATTAATAATAAGGATAGCGAATTAACTAAAGAAACAGCAGTAGTTGACGATAAGGAATTATTAATTGATTTAAGTACCGAAGAAGGTTATCAATATTCCAAAGATTTCGATAGGGAAAAAAATTTAGAAGCTATTAGAGAAAAGGATTTATTGAATACAAGCATACGACCGATAATAGTAAACGAAACTGAGCTGCGACAGATAGGTACTCGTACGCAGAAAGGGATAATACATACGCAGTTAGAACCCGTTAAACGAAACAAAAAAACCAAAATGCCAGGAAAGATTCCATTAGACAAAGCCACCCTCATGATTCCTACATGTACCGGCGAACGGGACGTTTACCAATTCATAAAAGCTTGCGATTTAGCATGTTCAGCAGTAGAGAAAGAAGACCTGCCCATACTCACGAAATTTATTAATACCAAGTTGTTCGACCAAGCTTTAAATGTGTGTCGCTATAGGGACACCAGTCGCTTATAGTCGTGTTTATTGGGAAGGTATAAAATTAATTTTATTAGACGCTTTCGAACCTCAACAATCCACTTCGTCATTGCAGGTAGCATTAAATTCAGTACCTACGTATGCGAGGTAACCAAGATGTAGGTGCATATGCTAGACATATAGAACAGTTATACTTCAATCTATGTGTAGCAAGTACAAAGGGTAAAAGTACAGAACAGGCAAATACAATCCGCGATCAGTTAAAGGAACAGACATTGGTAGTTTTTATAAAAGGGTTAATACCTAGCTTAAAGGCCATCGTGAAATCTCAAAAACCACCCACTTTAGAATTAGCTATCCAGGTTGCTAAGGATGAAGAGACAGAAATTAAGTCTGAGTCAGATGCATACCAATATTATAGAGGCAGGTAGTTCAGGTAGACAAGTAAACAACTCTAACGGGGATACCAGCAATTCTAATAGGCGGAATAATAATTTTAATAACAATAATCGTTATAATTATAATGCACCAAATAATAATAGTTCTCAAAATAATCAAAATCCGAATTTTAACAGACCTGATATAAATCACAGTAATAGAAATAATGTAAACAATAGTAATCAATATCAGCCTCGAAACAATAATAATTTTAATCGCAATAATGACGTAAAAAAGTATCACGAAAATCCTACTTGAGATAACTACAAATTCTACAAATTGTAGCCCTACAAAAACATTTGAAAGGGCGGTGAGGTGTAGCGAGCTGTGACTATTTCTTGAGCTTAACTATTTAACAATATAAATCTCATTCTAATATTATGTACGTAATCATATGATAAACGCGC